CTGACGGGCCTCCCGCCCTCCTCCTGTTTCCTGCTCCCGGCCGGCCGGGGCTGCCGAGACAAAGGCGGCTGGCAGCGACGCGGAGCTGCCCGGGCAGCCAAAGGGCAGCCCCGAGCCCTAGCCTTGTCCCACTCCTCCTCTCCTGCCCTGGGCAAAGAGAGCTGAACCTGCACATCCTGCCTTGGTGTTTCTCAGGGTGGTGATGACCTTTTAGGGAAGGAGGCAGGGGCAAAGCATTTGGGCAAACCCCACTGCCAACTCAGCTGCTCCCGCCTGCGTGCTGGCAGGGGGGATGAGAGCATTTGTCTAATCTGCTTTTCCCAGGACTTACTCTCCTCTTTTCTTTATTGCTGCTAAGGAAGGGTACCATTAACAATGCTTCTGGGGGCTGCAGTTTGGGGTGATGCTGTGGGATAACAGCAGCTCCTGGCTTTTTTGGTGCAAGGAAAGGAAAGGACCATTTGGGAGGAAAGAAGAAATGGAGACATTAAAAAGCCCTTTCTTTATTTTAATTAAATGTGCCTGTGATACTACAATTAAGGCAGCTATAGCTGCCATAGCTGAGCTACTGCTCCCCGAGCTCCTGGTGTGGACCATCTTCCCATGGTGCTTGAGCTGGCAAATACTGCAGCAGCAATTCATCTCCCAGTTAGCAGTAGTTTCCCTCCACACAAAAATGGTACCAACATACTGCTCTGGTTGTTTTTTAACCCTTCTCCCAATACTGACAATAATAAACTCTCACAATAATAAATTCCAATAACAACTGGAATCATTCGACTCCTCGGTGCAGTTTGGAGAGCGGAGGTTATAGAAAAATTCCCACTTGGGGTTTTCACTAGCATTTCTGTAGGGAAATGTTGAAAATTTTCCTTCTTCAAGATCCCCCTGGAAAGTCCACTTCTAGACGGTTTCTCACTTCCTGAAATGGAGCTATCTCCAGAGCAGCTATAGCCTCAGTTTGAGGCAAGACGTGGGTCTCTTCGGGCGATGGGAATATTGATTTATTTGCATTAGGAGCATGGCTCTGCAAGCAGCTGTTTTGCTTGAGGGAAAGCCGGGGCTTATTTTTGAGCTGTGTGCCTGGCTGCTCTTTATGTTGATGGAAGCCCTGTTATTTCAGTGGGGTGATTCACTGTGTTTTGAAACAATATGTGGCTGAGATGTCAGTAGTAATTTGGATAATAATAATAGCTGGCTCTTATCTTAACCTGGATCACCTGTAGAGCATCATTATCCCTGCTTGGCAGCCAGGGAGAGGCGAAGCAGGGACCTGGGCTGTGTTGAAGCACCCAGTGCCGGGGACTAATGTCCATAGGGAAGTTACCTTCGGACAGAGCTGGAGAGGGTAATGGGGAGCACAAAGACAATGAATGGATGATCTCAGCCGGGGTTTGGTTGGAGTTGTTGGCTGGGTGGTCCCTGCTCCAGGCTGGCCATGTGCCTCTGGCTGAGATGTTAGCAGGGAGGAGGTTTGTCCCTGGGGAGCTGCTCTGGGGCACCTCCAGCAGTGGAGTGGGCCAGCAACTTTTCAAAGGCAGGCATGAGTTTGCAAGTCCCACTCAATATCTACTTGGAGCCAAAAGACTTGCTGCATCTTGGCCCCACTGTCCCTTGCTGGCTGGATGTGGGGACCTTGCCTGGAGGGTGATGCCTGAGGTTGGGTTACTTCAGCAGTCTTGGGATTACGGCAACCCCTTGGGAGAGCTCCCACCATGGAGGTGCTGCTCCTCAGAAGGATGCTCTGTTGTCAGCTTTGCCCCTGCCCTATGTCAACACCTGGCAGAGGCAGGAATCTAGCACAGAGTATCTCTTCAGCTCCTCTTCTGGCCCTGTTAGTTTTTAACCTCCCTACATTTAAGACCAGAGATGGGGTATATCAGGAGAGCATGAGACTAATAGAAGACCCATGGACCTGATTAAACATCTTTGTCCATTTCTCTTTGTGATGAGGAGCCAGGATACCAGTGCAGGCTCCTTGTGTGCTCGTCAGGACCATCCTACTGACATCCTTGTCCCAGCAAGCCACATATTTATTTTGCAGCCAGGCCATGCGAGGCCAGCACTTGTTTGGCATTTACATTGAGTGAAACCTTATAACTTTAATAAGATGTAAACCGTGTCACACATCTCTGCCGTCGCTCAGCAACCCTGTAGTAATGGCCCAAACAAAGCCTCCCCGTGTGGAGGGAACACTAAATCCTATTGTGGAATAACTCTGCTCGGCCAGAGCTGGTATCTCTCCTGTAGCCGCCTCAGCCTGGACTGTGCAGCCAGGATAAGCCCCTGCCCCACCACAGATCAGTCCCTGCCTCACCATGCTTTTCAGGAAGATGTTTGTGCTGGCATGGGGCTTCAGGCTGGGAACTGCGTCTTTGGGATGCATTAGGAGGACTTGAAGAGATAGCGGCCCTCTTAAGGATTGATGGGCTCCCAGCTCTGAACAGGCTTGTCAATCACCATGTGTTCCTCCAGCTGTGCTTGAGATGACCTCCCACAAAAGTGCTGATTCAGGGATGGCTAAGGAAAAGATGCTGGAGTACATCCTCATCTGACTTATCCCGGGTGGCTTCAGTCACTTTTCAGTGTCTTATTTTAAAATTCCTGTGTCTTTTTCTCTTCCCTCTCATCCTGCCTTTTGATCCCTCCTGTCATCCTGCTGGGGACAGTTTTTCTCTCCAGTGCCTGGTGCCAGGCTGGGGACAGGTGGGTCCTTTGAGCCCCCCCCTTCCCAGTGCTGAGCAGAGCGTGGTGCCCCGATGGGGATTTCTGTTGGTGCGGGGCAGTCCTTCTGCTGCGGTGCAGAGATGTGATGAGCTCAGCTAAATCAGTGCGCCCTGCAGGTTTATTTGGATGGTGCTCACGTTGCCGAGCAGGGAAGCACCTGCAGGAGGGTGTGAAAGCAGCATTAATAGCAACAGCAACCCTGAGTGAATCTGCTCTGGTGGTAAGATAGGGCTAGGCAGTGAGGGCTAGGCAGTGAGACAGCAAAAGGAGACAGGCGTATGTGAGTGGTAGCTTGTTCAAGAGGTCTTTTGAAGAGATTTTGGAGAGGGCTGGGCAGGGGGTGGGCAATGGGCAGCTCCAACACTAGCTGGAGAAGAGAGCAGCTTGCAGGCACATTCCTTCCTTCCCTGCCTGCCACTGCCTACCCCTCCTCCCAAGACATGATGAATGTGTCTTACCCCGCCGGCTGGGAGGGCAGGTGCTCTCAAGCCAGGCGCATGCCATGCACCCAGCTACTCAGCAGATGTGCTGAGCCGTGCCTCTGTGAGGACTTTTATCTTCTTTTAATGCTCCCTGAACATTCACCAAATGAAAGAAGATATTTGCCCTCTTTCAGCCCTTAGGGGTGATCTGCAGGTTTGGAGTGAGCTTCCAGAGTGGTAATGCCTACAGAGGTGTTACTGTGCTGGGCATGGTGTCTCCAGCCTGAGTCCTGAGGAGCTGTTGTTCCAGTTGTACTGATTCCAGCCACAGCACAAGGGCTGCGCTGGGAGCACCCCTGCCTGCAGAACCACTCCCCTCTGACACCAGCCAGGCTGCAGAGGAGTATCTGAGGGCAAAGGTTGGCTGGGGAGGAGGTGGTGAAAGAAGTTGCATCAATTTCTAGGATGCAGTAAGTAACAGCTAACTGAGGGTGGGCAATGGGGAGGAGTGACCCTATTTTGGGTAAGATGCTCAAAAGTGCTTGCAGTTGGTGGGGCTGCTCCAATGGACATCTGTGCTGACACACTCCTTTGTAGCTGTGGATTAGAGTCCCAGGCTGGCTGGTGAGCAAATGGAGATGGTGTGGAGCTGGAGTTTTCTGCTTGTGCAACCACTAAATTTATCATCGCTTCCCATGGTGGTGTGGACAGCACCATCCTCAGTGCTCAGCCTGTTTCTCTGATCCCTGTTTTTCACTGCTCCCCTGCAGGTGGAGGCAGAAGAGCACCAGGACGTGGTGGTCTATGACCAGAGCACGCGGGACGTGACCGGCTTGGCCGCCGACAGCTTCCTCTCCATCCTCCTGGGCAAGTTGGACAGCTGTTTCCACAGTGTCTCCATCCTCACAGGTAGGAGCCCTGGATTACGGCTTCATCTGACACTCGTGCCCTTAGCCTGGAGCTACAGAGCTGTGGCTGTTCACGTCAATGTACACCTGCTTTCCTGGCCACCAGCTGCTGTGGTGGAGGAAGGCAGCCCTGTGTGCAGACTGAGGAGGCTCGACACACGTTGGCATCACTGGGTCCTCCCCATGCCTTCGTTCCTTGCACTGTCCATCTCCCCTCCACTGCACCCACCGGCCAGGGTGAATGAAAGAGGAGGGTATGGTGGAGTTGTGGTGGCATGGATCCAGCCATCCAAAAGCTGCCCTTTGTTCTCCCATCCCTGGGTTGCTTCATCCCTGGTAAATGTTCCAAGGACCCGACCCCATTCAAGCACTTTGTTCCCTCTTGTTGCTGTCAAAAGGAGGGCAGGAGGAGAAATCCATGTGTGTGTGGTGGGAAGAAGGGGAAGGAGGAGAGGGGCAGAGGGTCATCACTGAGTGAGTCAGGGTCTGCTGGAGATGATGCTCTCCAGGCACAAGTGTGCAGGCAGGAGGAGGCACGTGCTGCCCTAATTACAGCCCTTCTGCAGTGCAAAATGTGAGGCAGGCGACTGATGAATGAAAAGGTCTGACCCATCAGAGAGGAGGAGAGAGAGGCAGCAAACTGCCTAAGGGAGAGCTAAAGCTGTCTTTAATTCCCCATGTCTGGGACAGTTGGATGTCTGCCTGGTTGGCTGCCTACCTCTGAGCTTTCTACCCATGGAGGGGTGGGCAGGCACTGCCCCTTGCAGCCCCTCAGTCCCACTGAGCTCAACCAGGTTCCTAAACAATAGCAAAAACACAGAGATGGGAATCATCTCTGTCCCTTAAGCCTGTCCTCGTCCTGTGGCAACTGGGTACTGCTTTGGGACTCACAGTCCAGCAGGGTAACAGACCCTGGGAAGGGGTAGTTGTGATGGGGAAGGTAGCACAAACAACGGGCATTCAGGGAGCCTTGCCCATGCAAGGCAGGGGTAAGTGCTGATGAATTAGAGTAGCTGCATTGTGATGGGGAGAACAGAGCAGAGAAACAGCGGGAATAAACCCACTGGTTCAAGGCTTTCAGAAGAAGGCAGGGACTACATGAAATCACATTAAAGCTAATAATTGTGGCCTGGGTTGCAGGAGCTCAGCTGAGGTCAGTGCTGGAGGATGCTGCCATGAGCTTGCTATGGCAGCCTGGCAGCCCCTGGCCTGCCCCAGCAGCCGTGCCTGTGGTTTCAAGGTCATTGTGGCATAAACAAGGGCACAGCTTGGTGCATGGTGCAGGAGAAGGAAAAGGTCGATTTGGTTGCGTCTGGGAAGGAACATGCTTAGTCATGGGGATGGGTCAGGGAACAGCTTTGGCGGCATGACCTTGGCACCCGTAACCCACTGCCATCTTCCCAGGGCTGGGCAGCGGGCCATGCTGTACGGTGGCTGCAAACCCCCACCCCAAGTCCTCCTGGAGCCAGAACAGGGATGGGTGAGGTGGCCCTGAAAGCCCCAGAGACTGTTTCTGCCTGGTGGGACCTTTGAAGTACCAGTGCACCCCAGCCACATGCCCAGCATACCCTGTGCTGGGTGAGCACTGGCAGCATGCCACCCCCTCGGCCATCAGCATCACCACCACCAAACTCCCTGCTAGCAAACTGCCGCTCCCTGCTTGGGAACACGCATCCTCCATCCTCAGGGTGGCCACTTCCATTGCGCTGGGCTGCAGGAGCCCAGACCCCCAAGCAGGAGTGTGGCTGTGCTAGGCACCAAGCAAAGCTCAAACCTCCCAAATTAAAACCGCCGCAGGGCCACCACCTCATGTGGAACGCAGGCCACCAGCAGGTGGAAAAAACTGGAACTGAAATGTAGAACACTGGGTCATGGCGGTGGTGCTTTACATGGAAATCCTGACTAGAAGTGGCTGCGCAGAGCTCCGGGGGAGGCTGGGCGCACTTGCCGACAGGCACAGCTTCCTCCTGCCTGCAGTGCGGGCAGCAACGGGCTGTTTTAGAGGCAGCTCTGGAGGGCTTGGGAAGTCTGGGGCAGGATGTGTGTGGGGGTGCCTGGTTCTGCCCCTTTGCCCTGGTGAGGTTTAACCCCTTGGTCTGTCCACTCTGGGCTCAAGCACCTTGTCCTGCCCCAACCCATTCCATGCCTCTAGCTGGGGGTGGCTTGTGACCCCAGCAGGTTGGCAAGAGCTGCTGAAATCTCAGCCTGTCCCTCAGTGGATGCCATCACCTCAGGGAACCCTGTCCTGAGAGTCCCCAATTCAGCATGGCAGCCCTGCACAGCCCCTCTGTGCTCCCCAACTCTCAGCCCCAGCAGATGCCAGAGTCCATCCAGCCTCCATGTCCCCACCTCATGTAAACACCACCCTTGGCCTTTCTTGCTCACCTCTAGACCAGCGACCTTCTGACCCTTGAAGCAGCTGATGGAGGATGATGGGTGAGGACAGGGGAGCTGGGGGTGGCAGGACTGGTGCCAGGGACTCCTTAAGGGTTAACAGCCCAGAGCAGTGATTCCAGCGGCTGGGAAGGAAGAATCTGAGTCAATTATTCCCAGTCTTGGAAATCATCAGCTTCTCTTCTTTTTTCCCTTTTTTTTTTTTTAATTGTGTAAGTATAAATAGTGCTGCTTGCTGCCCTCCATCCGTGGGAGCAGAAAGACTGTTGATTTATATGGTTTTCCTGACATCACATGAAGTGGTGGAAAACTGAATGGAGCCAACATTTTTCCTGCATTACGTAATGCCCCCTCCCTCCCAGCCCAGCTCTGCTATTCCTGCAGGAGCCTGACTGTTCTTTAACCTTTGTTTACTTCAGCACAAACCCTTGCTTTTTTTGCCTTTTTTTTTTGCTATTTTTTCTTTTTTTTTTTTTTTCCTTTTTTTTTAACTTTGCTTTTTTCCTCCCCCCTTTCTTCTTCCCCTTTGCAATCTCCTGCTTGGTTTTTATTAACAGCCATTATCTGCTTATGAAGCAGCAGCAGCAGTCTGGCTCCATTGCTCCCTGATAGCTCCCGCATGCCGGCTCTTGTATGGGAGCCTGGCCAGATCCGTGCAGTGGTGCTGAGCTGCTGGGTGCTGAGCTTCACCAGCTCCTCTCCATTTGTCCAGCTGCAGTGGGCACTGTGGAGATTTTCTTTTACTCCTGTTCTGTGGCTAAAAGCAACAGCTGAGGGCTTGGGATGCTCATCCAGATGATGCTCAGGCACCCATCCTGTCCCTACTTCTGGTCCTTCGGCTGAGCGCTGGGCTCTGCTCTCCTGCGTTTGAAGCCATGTTCCACATAGATTAGAAACCAGGGTGGAAGTGTGACCAGTGGCAGTGGTCCCCACAGGCTAGGCTGCTGGGGTTGGGACCCCCCTTGCACGACAGAGACTCTTTTCACTGTGGTTCCATGTGCTGGGGGAGCTTTACCATTGCAATATCGTGCTCCGACCTGAAACAGGCCCCTCAATTGCTTTCTGAACTCGAGTCATGAGCTTTTCATCTGGCTCGGGAGTGTGTGTGAGATCATCTTCAGTGCCCCCCTCCCCCCGCTTTTGTACCAATTCTTCAAGGAATGTTTAAATTTTCCAGTCCTGTTCTTTCTAAATTTGGAGCGTCTGTTTACTCCCAGGATTCGGAAAGAATGTAACAATATCATCAGCGACAAATCCCTCCCAGCCCTCCGCTCGCCATCCTCCTCCTCAGCGAGCGGGCTGGCCTCGGCAGCGCTGGCCATGACCCAGGTCCTTTCTAGCCCAGCGGTGCCATGGCCATCAGGCATGGCTGGAGAGAATTGTAGTTGCATGGCAGCAGTGATCTGGAGGGGGCTGAAATTTGGGAGATTTTGGGGGAATTGACGTAAGACAGGTGACTTCAGTGAAATTTGGGGGATTTTGGGGGAATCTACCTAAGACAGGTGACTTCAGAGCAGGCAAAATGAAGTAGTGAAAAAGAAAAGGGGATTTCCATTGCAGGAGCTGACTTGGGCTGCCCAGGCATGAGTGGGTTCAGCACTGAAGCACTGGCTGGAATTATTTTAGAAACAGGGACTCAGGGACAGATGATTTTAATTAAAAAAAAAAAAAAAGATGAATGAAAAAAGTCAAGCTAGGCAGGTGTGAAAGCAGCACATAGGTAGTGCAGAAAAGAGGGGGCTTGCCTTCAGTCTGAGTCTCAGGGGCTGGAAGCAGCATGTACATCTGAAAGGCAGGAAAAATACAAATGAATCTGCAAAGCTTGTCATGGCAGAAGCTGAAGCTAAAAGCTTGGTAAGATCCAGAATCAGAACTGAGGTGTCTTTACAAACCCATTGCAAGAAAAAAAAAAAACCTAAAACCTAAGAAAGAAAATACCCCAAACTGACACTTAGGTTGACAGTCACAAGCTCTCTGGTGGGAGTGGGGAAGCAGTACCCAGCTGCACAGGCTATTTGATGGTCACAGTCCTCATTACCCACTCTGGAAAGCATCACAGTTTCATCTCTTGACTTTGGTGTGTGAGTGTGTCTACTGGGGACACAGCACGTGCAGAATGCACTAGCTGGTGGATTTTGTCCTCTGACTCCAGCAGAACCTCTGCTCAGTATATGGGCCTGAAGATGCACATGTATGTCAAGCATTAAGGCTATTTCAGGTACCCTCAGGCTGTAATATCCAAGAGCACTGGTGGACTTGGCATGAATCCATCCAGATATACCTGCAAGGTTTTCCTTTAAAGTCTAATTACTGTCTCTGAACCTCCAGCAAGCACTTCTGTCCACCTGTGGACGCCTCCATCCCATACCATACTGTGATGAACCAAAAGAAGCAGATCTTCAGCTGGCAGGAGTATGGATATGAATGAGGTGGGCACAGGGGTGGGATGAGACAGGAAAAAGTGCTCATGTGGGACTCTCAATTTCTTGCTTCTCCCAGATTTGGGAGTTTTGAAGAACGAGCTTTGCAAATAATGTGACTGGAGCTTCTGGTTGTTCTTCATCTACAAACTGCCCACATGATAGTCGGGAATGGAAAAAGAGTAAG